TCGATTATCCTGGCGATAAATAGACCAGAATCAAGCATGGATCAATCGTCAAAGTAAAGTCGACGAAATGGCACGGAGAGTACAATTGGCGCATAAACGCCCCTCACCACGTGATCACTGTTCGTCGCGTCAATGTCACCATAGACGGCGCTCTTTACTAACATTACTTACACAAGCTGTAGTTCGTCATTGATCGTCGCAATGCGTTATTGATCGTCGCAATGCGTTATTGATCGCTGAAATTGGTTATTGATCGTCGCAATGCTTTATTGATCGTCGCAATGCGTTATTGATCGTCGCAATGCGTCATTGATCGTCGCAATGCGTCATTGATCGCCGCAATTTGGTTATTGTTCGCCGCAATGCGTCATTGATCGTCGTAATTGGTTATTGATCGTCGCAATGCGTCATTGATCGCCGAAATTTGGTCATTCTTCGCCGATTGTATATATGGGCCACCGTAAAAACGTGACATTGTAAGTTTCACAGCGAGTGTATACGACCCGCTTGGATTAATTTCACCGGTATTGGTACGCGCCAAACTATTTATTCAACTTTTGTGGAAGTTGAAATTGGAGTGGGATGAACTACTAAGTCCTGAACTTTACGAACAATGGATCTTAATTGCTGAGGATTTAACCGCTGCTCGTGATAATCAAATCAACCGGAAATATTTTGACAAGACTTCTCCAGGTGATACCTATCAAATGCACACTTTCGCAGACGCGAGCACTTCCGCGTATGGTGCTGTTGTGTTTCTTCGTCGCCAGCACGAAACGGCTCTTGTCATGTCAAAGACACGAGTCGCCCCTAAATCGGAATTATCTCTGCCGAAATTGGAATTAATGGCTGCACTGATCGCTACGAGACTCGGTAAACTCGTACTGAATGCTCTATCGGACAAATTCAATATAACTGAACATTTCCTGTGGTCCGACAGTCAAGCGACCTTGCATTGGATTAATAGCAGTAAGAAGTTGCCAGTATTTGTTCAAAATAGAGTGCAAGAAATACGCGACTTCACACAAGAATATAAATACTGTCCAACCGTGGACAATCCCGCGGACTTACTAACGAGAGGTATATCAGCTAATGACCTCCGTTCAAACCCCAAATGGAATTATGGGCCGTCATGGTTACCAGATCAACAAATGTGGCCAACATGGGATGTAAACAATGCTACTCAACTACATGTCAACATCATGAAGGAAGATGACGACCTCGTCAACCCGGATACTACTTCGCCAGTCATCAACGCACAAACCGCTCGTGAAGCGACTGATGAAAGTGACAACGGCGTTCAACGCATTATTGACATCATCCAGCGATGACACAACGCAACCCACTGCCACAGATGGTATCACTAACATGCATGATGAAATCAACATGTCTACCAGTGGAAGTACAGATGATAACACACCATTGCCACAACGCAGATCACATCGTGACGCCGCAGCTGCCGCCAACGTCAGACTCAAAGATTTAATCTGAACTTTAGTGAAAATCGCACTAGATCAGAAGTTTACAAGTTCAATTTGTGTTCCCCTGAACTTGAAAAAAAATAACTAGTAATTATTAGTGAACTCTTTTATCAATCGTTATTCGTTTATTCTCATATATATATATTATTCCTGAATGTGTACTTTTTCTCAAAGTCGGGAGAATGTCGGAGATTCATAATATATATTTGTATTCGTTTTCATATTGCTAATATTATTATTACATGTCATTTCGCTATAGTTAATTCGTTTACCTTTCGCATGAAGGATTCCTCTGAGTAATTCTCGACCAATTAGAATCATTTAATTTCAGCCAATCATTTTACTCTGTATTGTATCTTTTTCTCCCGCGTACTTCATTTTGTATTTCCCGCTTACGTGTTTTCTCTCACGTTCGATTCGCACCTATATAAAGGGCTAGTTTCGGAGTTTCGGGGCTCCTTATTCATGTGTTACATGTTTCTATGCCAGTTTATCCAGCAATAAACCATACCGTGTTTTGCATCCACATTGACTGTTTATTCTGCCATCGAAGTTCAACTGAAGCGTATTATTATACCCCACAAG